AGGAACGCCCGGCTGCGGGCATTGCCCCCCAGGGCCCACGTGGCGTTGAGCAGCGGGACGTGGGATGGGGACACGGGTGACAGGCGCAGGCCTGGGGGCATCCTGCAACAGGGCATGGCAGAGAGGGGAATGCTGAACCTTGTTCCCAGCCGGGATAGCAGATGGGATGGGATTGGGAGCCTCTGAGCCACCCAGGAGTGGGACTGGGGACCCCTGTGCCACCCAGGGGTGTGCTCAGTGAGCCAAATCACATCACTCTGTGCCTCTCAGGGATGTGCCTGGGGACTCCTGTGCCACCCAGGGATGTGACTATGACCCCCCTATGCTGCCCAGAAATGTAACAGGTCTCCATGTGTCACCCAGGGATGTGACTGGCCCCTCACAGTGCCCATGTCCCCCCGGTACCCCATGTTCCCCCAGTGCCCCTCACTCACTGCCTGCGGGGCTGGGGGGGCTTCGGGCTCATCATTGCCCTGTACCGGATCGTCTCCACCTTCAGCCCCCTGGCACTGGCCACCTCCTGCACGGCCTCGTCCAGCTCATCCTGCATCCCTGGGACACCCTGTCAGCTAGACAGGGGACCCAGATGGAGGGTAGGGGAGCCCTGTGCCCAGTGCCATCCTTACCGAGAATCTGGAAGGCTCTTTCCCGGGTCACTGCCTCAGTGCCCTCCAGCAGTGCCTGCAGGGCTCCCTTGTCCCGGTAGAACACAGACAGCTGGTTGGTGTAGTAGTCCCTGGGGTCCCTGTGTTCCTGGGAGGGACATGGAACTGAGGGTGGCACCCCAATTCACAGGTCCCCAGGGTGTGGGGTGCTGCTGCCAGGGCAGGGGCACCTGGGGCAGCACCTCTGGGCGCAGGCGGGTCAGGACAATGCCGAAATGGGGCCAGGAGTCCACCAGCACCTCGTGGGAGGCTGGGTTCCCCCTGGCCACCGTCATCACAGTCCCCAGGACCTGCAAGACAAGGTCGTTGTCACCGGCAGGGCAGGACAGAGGGAGCAATAGCGTCCCTGGGGTCTTTGTCTGCAGCAGGTCAGGGGAGAGGGGACAGAGGGGTCCTTGTCACCACCAGGGCACGTGAAGAGGCAGAGGAGTCCCAGGGTCCTCATCACTGGCAGGGGAGAGGGGACAGGGGACAGGGACAGAGGGGTTCCTGGGCATCAGCAACACTGATAGGGCAAGGGTGAGGGGGTAAAGGAGTCCCCAGGGTCTTCGCTACCGGCAGAGAGGGAGGGAGGGATGGAGGGAGGGAGGAACAGAGGGGTCTCCAGGGACTCTGTCACCAGCAGGACAGGGCAGAGGGGACAGAGGGATCCTCGGGGTCCTTGTCACCGGCAGGGTGGTGGGCAGGCTCTTCCGCAGGGTCTCCTCCAGGAGCTGCAGCTGGGCTGGGCACCTCAGGATCAGCATGGCTTCGTGACCGTGGGGCAGGCGGTGAATCTGAGGATCTGTGGGGAGCTGGTGGCACTGGGGCAATATCCCAGAGTGTCCCAGTTGAGCACCCGTCCCCAGCCGTCCTCAGGGCTGGCCTGGTGCCCGGTGTTCAACAGGATGGACCCTGCCCGCTGCCCCCCAAGGCAGGGGGCACTTGCTGGCCCGTGACAGCTGGTGGTAACCATTGTCACCGAGTGCCACGCAGTCTCCAGACTCCCAGTCCACGGTGCCCCAGAACCCACGCACGCAGGATTGTTGCAGAGTGAGTGCTGGAGGAGCTGGAGACCATGGGAAATGGGATGGGGAGAGGGATAGGGGCCATGTCTGGTGGTCCTGTCCCCCTGTTATTGAGGGTCTCTCAGCAGGACAATGAAGATCCTGACGTGCCCAGCCCAGCTGCAGCGTCTGGAGGGGATCCTGAGGAAGAGCCTGCCCATCGCCCTGCCGGTGATGGGGACCCCTCTGTCACCCCTGCCCTGTGCCATGATAGGAGCCCCAATGCTACCCCCACCCTGCCAGTGACAGGGACCCTGCTGTCACCCCTGCACTGTGCCATGACTGGGACCGATATCACTCATCTATTGCTGTGATGGGGACACCAATATCCCCCTTGCCCTTTTCCCTGCTGGTGACAGGGACCCCAGTGTCACACCCACCTCCTACCGTGGTGATGGGGACCTCTGTGTCATTAGGGACCCTTTTGCCACCCTGTTCCCCACACCTGCCCCTCTCCCCTCAGCTTTAACCCCACATCTGCCCCCATGTCCCCCACATGGAGATGGAAAGCCCCCATCCCTGACCCAAATCTGTCCCCTCTTTGTCCCACGTTGCTGACCCCCTTTTCCCCCAGGTCTTTGGGGCAGTGCTGAACATCAACCGGGGCAACCCTGGCCAGTTTGAGGTGCTGGTGGACAAGTGGCCCGAATTTGGTGCTGTGCTGGCCCGGCCCAGTGGAGAGGTAGCCAGTGGGGACATGGGGCACTGCAGGAGGGGGGTGACACGGTGCCCTGGCACATGCCAGGTGTGCTCAGAGCACCTATGGGTGCCCCCAGGTGCCGGTGAACGATGGCTACTGGAACACACAGGCAGGGTTTTACCGGGACCTGGGGGCGTACCGGGCGCTGCTGGAGACCCCCGGCTGCCTGCGCTGGGATGCTGCCTTCACCCTTATTGGTGGCTTGGGGACACCGGGGTCCTGGGGGGAGAGGG